CAGAGTGTCGCAATTTTACAACTATGTGTATGCGCGTAAATTAATTTTGAGAGCAGCTAACAGACCATTTCATAGAATTTTTGGACGAGAGAAACAAATACAGAGAATGGCAGCCAATCGACTGCAAAATTATTTTAATTATAAAACTGTGGGACATGATATAAGTAATGATAAAATATTGTCAATTGTACAACATTTAGTGGAACATGGATGGCCTAAACGTAAAGTTAAGAAATGGCCTGATAAACTGAAAAGTTATGAATGTCAATTATAAATTGTAAAAACAATTACACAAATGTCATTTTTGCGCGGTAAAGATAAAGAGCTGGAAAATGCAGCAAGTATTGTCAGTATTGTGTTCAAGAAAACAGTTCCCCACGAAAAATTGTGCTGACACCGTGGCCATGGCTTAACCGCTCTTGGCACAGATTATATATGAGGATTTTGCAGGTTCGTACATGGGATTTACGTATTTTTTTTTAGTCGATGCATATTCGACGTGGCCAGAGGCTTTCATTGTCAGAAATATGTTTGCGAGCGCAACAATTGATTTGTTTGGGAAAATTTTTTCTATCTACTAGCTGCAACGTCACGTAATAATAGATTCAGGGTCACAGTTTAATAGTAAAGAATGTCAGACATATTATTAAGATATAGGTATAAAACAACCTTTCCGGCCAAATCAACCAGCAACAAAAGGGGTGGTAGAAAACTTCGTTAAAAAATCCAAACGTAAAATAAAAGTGATAGTGATTTGTACAGGAGTTAGTATAAAAACGGTAATTACAGTTTAGAAAAAGTTGTTAAATTAAAAAAAAATTTTTTTTTTAACTGCTAAAGTAATAGTAAGTTGAATGTTGAAAATCATGAAAAAATAGCTTTCTTTAGTTTCTTTTAAAATACATTTTAGATATGTACGCCTCACTTTGAGCAAACAATTAACATCCAATTGATATTCAGTAAACTCGGAAACGTAAGAAATCATTGGAATTAAATACAATACCAACAATACGTCTTTTGTGCAGCACAATGTACGGCTCGCTGCAACCTGTTTGACCTTGTTAACGGCTTGTGGAGACTAGCACAAACGAACATAAGGGCTGGTAAAGATATACAATATTGATAGCGCTGAGTATGAGATAAGCTTTTGAAGACGATGTCAACCGTGGGCCTCGTTGAACGTGAGATTTTTTTCCCTTAAAAAAAAAAAAAAATGGATCATGGGACCCACGGTAAGAACGAAGTTATTTAAACATGACATAAGTATAAAGACACACGATTTCTCAGGTAACAAGGGGGTCGCCAGACCCATAAGAAGAACGAAACTCTATAAAAATAAGTACTGCACTCATGTACTTCACTGAAACAAAACTTGAAAAACGAATAAAAAAAAATAAGAAAATTTAGCTCAGTACTCACGATAGTTGAACTTCGTGAGTGCGTCATGCATAAATACAGTACTCACGAAGTTCAACTATTCAGAAATTAATTATTCAAGACATTTTTCAGTAAGCGCCCTGGGTCATTGGGTGAAAGGTGCTTCTGATAGTTGCCAGTATGTGCTTTGAGTAATTGGTAAAAGCTGCTTTATTTATAAAATTTAGCAATTTATTATTTAATATATTTGCCAGTAAGCTCCTCAGGTCATTAGGCAAAAAACGCTTTTTTTATTAAAGTTAGCCATTAATTTTTTATTTGATTTGCCAGTAGGCGCCCTTGGTCATTAGGTAAATGGCGCTTTTGTTTTTAGATTTAACAATTAATTATTTAATACGTGTGCCTGTAAGCGCCCTGAGGCATCAAATAAAGGGCACTTTTGTTATTAAATTTAGCAATTTATTATTCATTACATTTGTCAGTAAGCGCCCAAATCATTTAGGGAAAGGCATTTTATTTAATAAATTAAACAATTAGTCATTTGAAACAATTGGCAGTATGTGCCTTGGGTCATTGGGTGAGAGTAGAATCTGTTATAAAATTACTTAAATTATTATTTAACATATTTGACAGTTAGCATTCCGGGTCATTCGGTAAAAGCCACTTTTGTTATTGAATTAAGCAATGAATTACTCTATACATTTGCCAGTAAGTGCCCCGGATCATTGGATAAGAGGCGCTTTTGTTATGAAATTAAGCAATTAATTACTTAAAACATTAGCTAGTAAGTGCCCTGGGTCGTTGGGTGAAAGGCGCTTTTGTTATTAAATGTAGCAATTAATTCTCCAATTCATTTGCCAGTAAAAACATCGGGACATTGGTAGAAGGCGCTTATGTTAATAAATTTGACAATTAATTATTTAATACATTCGCTAGTAAGCGCATCGGGTCATTGGGTGAAAGGCGTTCTTGTTATTAAATTTAGCAATTAATTATTTAATACATTTGCCAGTAAGCCCCCTGGGTCATCTGTCAAAAGGTGCTTTTGTTATTAAATTAAGCAATTGATTATTTAATATTTTTTTAGTAAGNTTGAAAAAATCGGTTGGTATTTTATGCATCAAATGCATAAAATACTAATAATTAATGTGTAATAACACGCCTTATTCGATTTAATCTATATAATCATATTCATGCTAATTAAATTTTTTGTTTTTTTTTATTTATTGATTTAAAAAAAATTTTTTTTCTCAGGATCGAGATACTTCTAGTTAGCGACTTCCGTTTTATGGAAATCTGTCGTTTTTAAAATAAGCTCCCAAGCACGCTACATGAGAAATAATTAAATAAATAATTGATCATTAGTTGAATGTATTATCAGTGAATGCATATGAAAATGAAATATTATAGTTACAAACCACACGGTTAGTACAAGAAACTGAGTTCCTATAGTCAGCAGCGCTCGTAGCAGAGTGGGTAAGGTACCCGACTCATGTGCATGAGGTCGAGGGTTCAAATCTGGTTCAAATCTGGTTCAAATCTGGTTCAAATCTGGTTCAAATCTGGTTCAAATCTCTTTGTTGGAAAGGGTTTTTTTTAATTTTTTTTATTTTTTTTATTTTTTTTTGAATTGTGAAAGAAAAAAATTCAAAGTCAAATCAAAATTATTGTGGGAAAATAAAATTAAAATTCCGTTTAAATATGAATTGCGGCTGAGGGGAAGTGTATAGTGAACTGTTGGTGAGGAGGACGGGATAAGGGGGGAAACTTGAGAGGAAGTGACTTCCAGTAGGCCACTTTCGTTTTATAAAATCTGTCGGTTTTAAAATTCCAGCCCCCCGAGTACGCGACATAACGAACTTCGTTCTAAAAATCTTCCTCTTTGGGTGCCTCGTTCCCGTAGAAGGATAGGTCATCAACGTAGAGCATGAAGCTTAGTTGTACTGTAACACTTAATTAGTGACTCTTCTTTTCCAGGGATGTCCAAGTAATTGACTTGGTTGCAAGGATAACTTTTAGTTACGTTAGTTTATTACTGTAAAAGAGAACAGCATGTGCTTTGGCACCAAACCAGTGCAGACTAACTGCTTATAATATTATTGACACTAATTACAGTATCTTTATGTTTCCATTAGGGGACCTCTGCCAGCTAGAGCTAGGAACTTGATATGCAACCCTACATGGTTCAAAGATTCAATGGCATTCGGGATACTTTTGGGGGAGACCTCGTAGGGAAAAGGCACGGATGCTGGAACGATTTTTGTTGAAATTTCGTTTAAAAATTTATTTAAAATCACATTTAGAAGATAACATAAGCATTAAAATTTTTATTTATACATTTTGTTTCCAACTTAGCATACATTTTTTGTTTAATTTTATCTTGATAAGATATAATTTTAAATTAATAAAAAGTTATTACATAATGTCGAAACACCTTTAGGAATGCATGCCCCGATAGTGGTACATCGTGTACCAATAGTGAAACGTACATGTTATTCGAATAAAATCTATGTATTTCACCAAATGGACATCCGAAGTTTGAGGTTATATTTTCAATTTTACGTATTATGAAACAGTCATTTGAACAAATTTTTTTTTCATTGTAATGCAATTGAAAATAGATGATAAGTTTTGTTAACATAATAAAGCACCACTTTTAACATCAGAAATTCATTTTTGTATGACAAAATTCTTTAAAGCTCTTTAGTTATTGACTATTTCACCATTAGGACAAAATTAAAAAGTGTGTTCCGTCATTGGTACTTTCACCTTATGTGGTATTTGTATATTATAATTGTGTATCGTATTTACCATAGAATCATTAGTTGACTGTTTATTGTGTTAATTACAAAAACATGTACTTGCCTCATGATTTTATGGCGTTGAAATCAATGCTTATTATTACTGTCTTCTAAATGAGATAATTACTTAATAATTCATGTGCATTCATTGTTATCTTGGATACATTTTACTAATGAATATGTATTCTTAAGTTAAAATGATGTTCTGTTTGCTAGTCATAGTATGATAACAGCTATTTTGCACATAACTTTCTTTTCTAATCAACTAAGCGTTTCAATGACTAATGGATAATGCTGTCAGATAGTGGTTTATATGGCAAACGAGAATAATCATACAAATATTACAGAAATATAAAAAATATTTGAATTTTTGTTTTTTAATCTTATAAAAAACATACTATACAAAACGCACTAGTCTGATAAAACAGCTTTCTGCACCTTATTTAAGGTGCTATAGTATTGATAGGCCTTGTTCATGTTGATTTGACAATATAAATCAATAAGTTGATAAGAGGCTTGTGAATAGAACTAAAAAACTTTTTTTATCAGAAATTAAATCATAATTAAACAAAATTTTTCTTAACGGATGATTAAAGTGCACTTTATAATAAAGAAACTAATAACTTATTACAAAAATTTGTGTGACTACAACATTGTGGAATAAGTTTGAGACTTTTTTTACACCATTTTTATACTTTTTTGACACTTGAGTAATACATATTTGTTGATAGTTCTCTGTACTAAGGATGTAGTGAGTTATTTTTTCTTCACACCAATATTAAACTATATACGGACAAGACAACAAAAACAATTAATACTAACCTATTGACGTTTTGCCGTTGTTCAAAATACTCATACTCTGTATCAGGATAAGGCAAATTTTCATCTTCATCTTTTTTGCACTTCCTTCCACAAAGGTAACCAGCCATAAAGCCAACAAAAAGAGCTGCCAAAGCTCCAGCTACTACCGCTATTACTAAGGTTTCTACAGAATATTGTGGAAGTGGAGAGTCTGCTGCTGAAACTTCTGGTCCTAAGGCATAAATAAATTTATTAAATTAGATAGTTCAAACTTTATTTTTATACCAAGAACTTTGATGTATAATTTTTGTAAATTAAGGGGAATTTTATACATATTTTTATTGAGCAGAACTCTCATCAAACAGTTTTTAGCTAATGAGTTTATTCAAAGTCTACGTAAGTTTACTTTTTAATGTGTAGTTAACATGTATATTTCAAGGAAATCAGTAGTATAGTTTTCAACTAAATGAATTGATTAAGTCAAAGCTAATACGTGTCCCTTATAAAAGTGTCGTTAAAAATTTTTTTCCTTTTTTTTATTATTATAGGAAAAATAAAAGCATACATTTTTTAAAAAACTAATACATTATGTTTTTTAACTTTGATACTACGGAGAGTTAGAATTTAATAAATAAAATCTGAAAATTAGACGGCATGTTATCTAGAAAGATTTTTTTAAATTTCATTTTAGTTGTACATTAACAACACTTATCAAATAAATTGTAACGATACTCTTGCACGAATGAAGAAGGCAACAACGATGACCATACTCCAAAAGCTCACAAGTAAGCAACGACAAATAAACTCAAACTTAATGCAACAAGAGTTATACTTTGCCAAATAACAAATTGTCAATTTGTTCTACTTTCTTTAGAACTAAAATTTTATATCACATACGTTGTATAATAACAATATTATAAGGTCTATTTACATTTGACAAATACTTATCATTATTGGGCAAAATGCACGTGAATGTGGATTTCTCACTATGATGTATATCGATAAGTACACGTGTACACAATTATTGTTTTTCTTAGCATGTTATAAAAATAGATATAATTAAATAATACTAACTGAATATTAACATTGTATACCCCTAATTGAATGAGCATGGAAAAATTAATTAAAATCAATTACGTAGAACGAAGGAAGCAATAATCAGTTATGCATTTATGTATAAAAATATGACATGATTATATTATACTCAGTTAAAGAACAACGAATGTATCCTTTTTACTATAGACAAGCACAATACCCCCTTTTCTTTTCATTGGAATAAACACGTTGTTTCGATAAAATTAACTCATGCATTTTCAATCTAGTCCATACCCCATGTACACTAAAAAGAATTAGATGTAAATTAAACTACCATCATTAAACAACTTCTATTTAGGTTTTATTTTTTTAATACATTTGTTTTTAAATTGTTGCATGGATATCTTATTATTAAACAGTTTTTAAAAATAAATTAATAAGAATCAAGAAAATTCAGAAAAGAAAATACTCAAATTATTTAACAAAATCTAAAAAAATTGGCGTTTAATTAATTTTTACGTATTAAACACCATAACTATTCTTTTCTTTAATGCACTTTGTTTAATGCACGTTAAAAGTTATTTTTACATTCGCATGATTATAATTTTTTATCCTATCATGTCACAAGATTATTTCAATAGTTTTTTTTTGTATTCATACATTGATTTTCAATTTAAATGCAGTATGTAATAATATATCCCATCAGCTAAAAATTTTACATGAATAAAAATATACAGATGAAATAACTTATTTAGTTAAAGTTTGTTAAAATTAACAATCGCTTTTTCAACAATATTGTTAATTTAGTAACTATTGTCACGTTACATTCAAATATTGATCCCTTTTTCACTTTCGCATCTTAAAGCGAAGTATAATTAACCCTGAGAAAATAGTGGCTTTCTTATCTTAACTTTGACCTTGAGATCCGTTATTTGTTATGAAAAAGCTAATCATAAAGGAAATTGTTTTGTATGTATAATAAAATTTAATGAAAAAAACACTTTTCGTATTTAACATTATGTATGTTATAAGAACGTTCGTAGTAATTTTTTTGATACTCAAGAAAAAAAAAAAACATTTATAATCTAAAAGTTAAAAGTAATTTGAATTTTATAATAAGATTTGTAGTAAGTAAAAAATTTTAGGTACAATAAACGTAATGATATTGTTTTTTTGCAAAGGAAATTGGTTATTTTAACTTTCATAGAACTAGTTTCATGGCTTATTTCAAAAATTGTGCTCATAAATTGTTTGAGTAATGAAGTACACTATTAAAAGTTTCAATACTTTGGTATTTAATACTAAAAATTCTTATCTGTCAAACATGATTTACGATAATACTGCCATCATCAAAAAATGTTTATGGTGATTAAATAGTTTACCACACCTATATTCGTTTACCGACCAATCAAGTGCAATGAAATAACAAATGTTAGGACGTATTTGTAATGAAAAGGTGCTAGAAAATATATAGTTAAATAACTATATGCTTAATACATACCAACATGAAGTTATAGTCTATTACTTAAGGAGGTTTGGGAGTATCATTCAGAGAGGCAAGGAACGGGGAATCTTCCTGCCCACGCACCTGGGCCCCCTTTACCGAGCACCTCCTCTTGCACTCTACAAACTTGAAACTGTACGACTATAACTCCTTATGTTTTTGAAAAATGCCTGGCAAGGCTTTATTTTTTTTGTCAAGCATCTTCTTTTTATACTCAGTTATCTATGGAAAAGTTTTTTTTTATTTTAACACATTTATTGTGCACCTTAATTTCAATTAAAAGGCGAACCTAACCTTGCTCTCTCATAAGAGACCGTGTTAAACTGCCAATATTTCATAATTTTTTTCTCGAAAATTTCCCGTGGTAAAAAATCTGAAAAAACTCATGCGCACTCCTCAAATGCTCAAATATAAGACACACATTTTTTTTGCACGTTTCTCTATTTTGAACTTTTCTCCCAAACCTCCTTAAGACAACGATCGCCACATTTTAACAAATTGTTCATTTAAAAAGAAAAGTTAATAACTGACTGAATCATTTTTCTTATCTATTATTTACCTCTTAAAATATGATTGCTGTTTTCTGACTTATTAACATTGAGATTTATAAAATGCTTGCAGTAAAATTTATCTTAATAAATATTTTGAATGCGATAAATATCAGATAATGATAAAAAATACAATGGAATAAATTTGATACAAAGTAGACACAAGAATGTTTGAATCAAGAATTACACTATTGGTCAAAAACTATGTAACAGACAATTATATTAAACTCACTATATTATATTCTTTAAGAATAATATATTATATTACAAAAAATTAACTACGCTATAAAGGCAAAACTTAATATTTCACCTATTGCAGTTGGTTTCTTTCATTAGTCATGTTGGAACTTTATCAAAAAACCAAAAGTACCTTTAACTACTCTAATTTTTGATTAATTTCTGTTTCAATACTGTTGTCGAACACAACAGTTAGTAGTAGTGTCGGTTAAGACGTGTGACTTTTTAAAAAAGACAATCAACAAATTCAATAGTACTTCTCTTTCCTCTGCTTAAAAAGTCTTACAGAGATTTTTACACCTGCATTTAACAGAAAATAAGTATACTGAAATTGCCTCAAATTTAATAGCGATTGAAATTAAAGATTTATGGGTGCAGAAGAAAGTCCTAACTATCATTAAAAGTAACATTGTATGTAAAATGTTGAAACTTGATGCAGAATACATAAATATAATGTCATAAATACATCATTAAAATACGACGAAAAGGAATTCATTAAAAAATATGTAGTGCACTTTTACTGCATAACTGTTCTTTTTATAAATTTATAATAACATTTTCTTATTTTATCAATACGGCATTATTTACTTATTCACGTAAACTTCTTGTAACATTTGTTATTTGATTTAAAATACTTAAAAAAAATTATAATAAAAATTATATTTTCAAAAATAAATGTTGATGTTCCGGATAGATCAAACTTGTACTTTTAAAGTGAAGTATGTGAATGTTTGTCTGTTATGTATGTGTAGTAAAGTAAGAAAAATGTGTTCGAATAAAAATGACGAGCGTTGTCACTTAAAAAAAGATGCTGTTGATTTTTGTTAAAAAACGTTCAGTTTTGTCACTAACTTCAATGACTATGAGTCACATTTTTGTTTGGCAGCAATAAATATTCTTAAAATTCGATAATTTCCCGAAAATGTTTCTTTCTTTGCGCGAAGCTGATTTTGTCAGCTACATTTTGGTGCCGAAACCCGGGACTTATATTTGTATCGGGGATTCGTGCAAGAGAGAACATAAAAAGAAAGCAAGCGACTCCAGATAATACTTCAAGAACACAGCACTGCAGCAACAATGACAGCAACGACTGCAGCAGTAACCGTGAAAGCGAAAGCAGCAGCATCGTCGGTGCAGAAGACGAGCCACCACCACCAACTCCTACATGATTTCATGCACCATACCGTGTGCCGTCACCTTGTTACCCTAACCCTGCTGCATGGCAGTGCGTTCGCGCACGCTGTCTCTTCATCATCCTGATCCTGTTAAGCAGCAGTGCGTTCGCGCACGCCGTCTCTTCATCGTACTGATCCTGCTGATAAGTGGCAGTGCATTCGCGCATACCGTCTCCTCGTCATCCTGATCATGTTAAGTGGCAGTGCGTTCGCGCACGCCGTCTCCTCGTCGTCCTGATCATGTTAAATGGCAGTGCGCTCGTGCACGCCGTGTCCTCTTCGTCCAGTCCTGTTAAGCGGCAGTGTGCTTGCACACGCCGTATTCTCGTCGTCCTAATCCTATTAAGCAACAGTGCGTTCGTGCATGCAATCTCCTCGTCGTCCTAATTCTGTTAAGCGGTAATGCATTTGCGCACGCCGCCTCCTTCACTTTCTGATCCTCCTAAGTGGCAGTGTGTTCGCGCATGCCGTATCCTCGTTGTCCATCTCCTTACTATCCTGACTTTTCTGAGCAACTGTGCGCTTGTGCATGTTACATTCTTTTCCTGCAAGTAATATACCTGCAGCTGCATTCAGGTCGTACATACCACTTTAATTGTCTTTATTGTGTTAAAGTATAACAGTGGGACAAACGTGCGAGTAACATTGTTACCTGACTATGTGAAGGTGCAATGTATTGTATTGCATCTTCTATATCATTAAGTTACATATCGGTGACATAATTACCTTTTTT